ATGGAACATGCTTGAGCGAGAAAGTATTTTGAGAAAATTAGTTTGAAGGATAATTTTGCCTATGAATATCTTGATTTTTTTCTTACCTCCAAGTTAATTGATGGAAACTTATGATTTGATGTCATAAAGAATGATGAACGAGTATACTAACTAGTCTTGTTTTCTTATTTTTCTCAATCATTCTCCTTTTTCTTTTCGGATTAGCATCCAATAGCTCAAGCAAAACTATTTTTTATCGGAAAAGGTTTGTAAAAAAACGTAATATAGGCTATGGCTTGAGCTCATGAAAGAAGGATATATAAAGGCTCAAAAGTGTTTAAGGGGTCTTATGACATAGAATCACTTTGTTGTCCACATAAGTCTCTTTTAGGTGATGTTGCATGGATTGTATCACTTTAGCCATCAATTAGGCTTTGAACTTTATGAGAAAATTTTCTTTATAGGCTTGCCGTAATAACTTTGTCATTTTAACTAGTGACTTTGTCTTCAGCCTCAACTCTTATTGTACTGTTTATTTAGATTTTGACTCCCATCTTAACTTGTGACTTTTGTATTAGGAAAGTTTTCTTTATTTTATTTTTTGCCTTCTTTTTTTTATTTTTCCTTTTTTTTTTAGGATCATTAATGAGATTCTTTTGACAAAATTTTTTTAAGAGTTTCATCAATCATTTATGGACTTTGCATTCTATCTCCTAGTGTGAGGAGTGATCCTAGTCTAGGTCATCATGAAAGAAATCATCAAGGCTAAAGTGGGATAATAAAGGATAAAATTTTATGAGATATATGAAACATGACCTTTCTTTATCTCAACGGCTAATTTGCCTATGTTGATAAATGCTAACCTCTTGGAAAATTAGTTTAGAAAACCCTTAGGTTAACTCTGAAAGAGAAAATGATGAATATAATTTGAGATCAAGAGCTAAAGATATATTGTTCATCATTATTTAAGGCACCAATCATTTAGTCTTTCAACTTTGGTCTTCATGAGGATTTTCTAAGTAAAACTTTTTTTCAAAAGCTTATTTAGAAAGGATAAATTTTGTTTGTTTTGGTTTAAAAAAATGGGTGATTGCCCCCATTACTTTCTACTAAAAAAGATTAGTAAGAGGATGTTGTTTTAGGTTCACTAAATTGAATAATTATCTCTAGCATCTGTTTGTCATGCTTTAAAATTTGGTTTATCTTTTGAATATTTTGAATGAATTTGCTATTATATTTTTTTGATGGAGAAAAATGTAATGCCAAATTATACTTTCAAAAGAACATATCTTGATTTGATATATAGACAATATGAAATTATAGAAAGTGAATAAATTTACTCCTTGATGAAAGACACAACTCAATTCATGCATAGCTAAAATTAGACTGTTGCCAAAGCTGATCCCATCTTCCTTGATCAAATTCAATAGTTTTTTTTAGAAGTAAGATAATTATCGATGTTATACCAAGTCGTACATGACTAATTTTCACATCCCTTATCCAATTTGTACCATGGAAGAATAGGGGCTTCCATTGAGTTAGGCTAAGATGTGGTGATTTGCTTGATGTTTACTAGATGCTCGAATTTTTCATCTAATGAGACAAGTTAGGACATAGCTACCCATGGTTTTGAATTTTAGCGCATCCCAAAGGTTTTAATCTGTTTGGTAAATAACACCGACTTAGCTGATTTGATAGACATGACTACTAGGCTTTTTTTGAAATATGGTTGCATTTAGGTTTTTAGACATGGTTATGCTTGGTTTATGGTTTTTTTTTTTTTTTGATGTGGTTGTATTTGTTTTGTTTTGTTTTTTGTTTTTTTTTTTTTTTTTTTTTGACATGATTGTATTTGGCTTTGGCCACAATACAAGCTATTATGGTTGTTAGGTTGGAGATGTATTGGGTGGATGCGGGGTTTTGGATGTTTATTTGGATTTTCATGGATTTGAAGTCTTTTTTATTACTCTGTTGATTTATAGGCGAGAGAATTCGAGTCCAACCTAATATATTTCACCATTCTTTATCCTAATATCCTTGCTTCTTTTCTTCTCGGAACCATTGGATTCCTTTTCGGTTTTGATTGCTTTATAGATTTGACCAATTTAGGGCAACATCTTTATCAAATTTATTACGTTAGATGAAAGCATCGGCTTGATCTCTTTATTTTATGATCTTGGCACCATCCAATCTCATACATCAACTCAAAGCATATGCACTTGGACTCTTGTAAAAGAATTATGTCGAGTAGATTCTCACAACTTCGACCATCTTGCTACCATATACATTAAAAGCCTACATACTTGGCAAATTCAAGAACTCTAGGTTTCTTAGGAATTACCATATTTAATATTATGTCCATTCTAATAACTCATACTAGCTTATACATATCAATGCTTTTGGTATCCTTGAGGCATTCTTTGGCTGCTAACAACTTATTTGAACTAGGCTCTTTAGTTGTCTTAATCTTATGGACTTTTTCAATAATGATATATGCATCGAGTGTATCTTATACCTATGGAACTTGTGGTCCCATTGTATATGAGAATAGCTTACTAAGGAATGACCCACTTAGTAGAGAATATGATTGCTCTAGATTAATAAGTGGAATAGTGGATGGACCGACCTGTAAGTTAACATTGGAATGGAAAAAGATAATTTAAAACTAAGATTGATCTTAGTTTGATGTGCCCCACCACTTAGTAATGCGAGCAATGCTTTTTTAGAAGTTTGAACAAGCGGGTAATTTTTCTATTCATCGGGTCTTTTTTTTATCGGTAGGCATATTCCCACTATGCTCTCTCTATCTCTCTCTCTTTTCAATTTTCATCTAGCCTCACCGAGTTGAGTGTAACATGTGTGGGAGAAGAGTTGAGTTTTGGCGGGATGGCTTACATTTTAGATCCCGCAAACAAACTCAAAATAGATATATACAACAAATATACACTAAATACATGCATGATATGAATCGGTTAGATACTTTACTTTCGTTGTTGTCGACTTCAAATCATGATAGAGTTTGTATCGAAGATGGGCTAAATTAGATTTCAATCCCATAGATATTTGAGATGATTTAGGAAACATACTTACCCTAAATCGGTTTTATCTTTGATAAGAATTTTTTTATTTTTTAAGACTGCGAGTGGTAAACCCATCTTGTGATAGTATATATAAAAGAATTTGAAATTTATAGATCTAGGACATTTTAAATGTAACTTAAATTCACTTTTTTATTGAAGAATAAAAATGGTGTAGCTCTTTTTAGTAATCACTTATAACATCCAATTATATTATAATGTTTGTTACATTTATAATACAAGTAGATCCCTATTCTACCCTTTACAATTTCAAACTTAAACTTGAGACAATAGAAACCATGTGTTTTCCGAATCTTGTTATGAGCTCATCTTTAGTTGTGTACTCATTGCTTGTAAGTCCTATCTATTTTTGTTTTTTTAGTTGTTTTCTTTTTGAATAAGATCAAGGGTAGACAACTTTCCTTCTTAATCTGGACCCATTACGATCTAGCCCTAAAATCTTCGATAGTATTCTCTATCTCGATTTATTTTGATGATAACTTGCAAAAATGAGGATTAGACTAGACATCCTTTGAAAATAATTTATGTCCTAATCGGTGAATCCGAGTGGATAAGATCTATCTTTTCTTAGGTTTAGGTAAAACTTGTCTAATCTTGAAGTCTTTTCAAGTTTTTGAATCTGTCTAAATTACCAATGGAGTAATTTAACCTTTAACCTTATATATGATAAGGTAGGGGAAGATTATTCCACCATTTCTTATGCATATGGTGAGTTTCGGTTCAAACAAGAGTTTAGAAAAACATCGGTAGACTTTCATCATACTTGCCTTTGAATCTCTTTATCTAAATGCTAGTAGGGCTTTAGCTCGGATCTAGAGCTCTTATAAGTTTTCTTCATGATTTATGCAATAGTTCAAATGAAGGATCCAACCTAGTTCAAACATAAATATGCAACAAGAAAATAAATTATAAAAATTTAAAACATGTACAAGAAATCAATAGCTCAAAATTAAATAAAAAAATAAATTACTTGGAAAATAGTTGGTAAAAAAAAAATACGGGAGATAAACTTAACAAACATATGACCTAACTCTAAATCTTAAGTGGAGTCGCCATTCCATTGCTACATGATGTCGGACGAGACTTTAAAAAAATCTAAGTTTTCAAAGATTCGTATCTCATTTATGGGTTATTACGGGAATACGAGTTATTATTGAGTTTGGAGTCACCACCTAATATTAAAAAAATAGGAACCTAAAATAAGCACTAGTGTAGAGATTCTTGAGTAAAGAGTTGTTACACTTTAAGAAGATATCGATTACCAAAAGATGCCTTTTCCTAAGAAAGGTACCACGTCTAGTTTAGTTCTAAATTTATGTCCTAAATTATTTTATTTTGTGCTAGGTTATTTATGAATTGAACTCCAATTTTCTAAGCTAATTTAAATGTTGAAGACTTATAATTCGATAGAAAATCGTCATCGATCTCTAAGAATTAGGAGACTCGATAATTCACCTATTATTTAGATAGCTAAAGTAGTTGTGAAAAGAGAACTAAAGTCTGCTTCCTCTTCTTTTACTTTTCTTTTTACTTTATTGTTTTACATTTTTTGTTGATAGAGAATCATCATCGGTCCCTAAAATATTAGGAGACTTAACAATTCAACTACCATTTAGTTATCTAACTTAATTAGGGAAATAAAAATAAAAATTTAAATTAATTAAAATTAAGCTGAAATGAGTTATAAGAAAGCTAGAATAACGGAAAAGAATGAGACTAAAAAAAAAAATTAGGCATTTTTTTTAGTAGGTCGTGGGCCATTGGCTAGGCTACTTAGGCTAGCCTTTTGGATGAGTCAACCATTCTTTGATTTTTTGGCATTTTAGCCCGACCTTGGGCATGTGGGTTGAACAAATCTAGCTCTACTTAGTGGCTGAACAAGTCCAACCCCTTTCCCCTTTTTACTAAAAAAAGAAAAATAAATCAATTCCGGTAAGACTTTACGAAGCCAACCCTTAATTCATCAAATAGCAAAAGCTTTATACCTCCCATCTTCTCTTCTTTCTCTACCTCTTCCATCTTTTTTTCTCGCTTGACCTTATCATGAGATGCCTTTTTATATGCATACACTGAATCAACTCCAATAACCCTTGCCAATTTAAATAATACGGTCTCCGATCTTTCAACTCTTACCATAGGATCAAACGATCCGGCTTGCATGTTCTAATGAAGGTCGAGAGATCGATTCAATCTCAAAATCGAAATGACATAGCCTAGTTTTATCAAAGTCCTAGATGAGGAATCGTCATGATCTTCTAAATCAAAAAAAAAAAAACAAACAAACAAACAACGGACATATAGTCATTATTGGTAAAGTTGAGGCACTCATTATCATGGACACACTAGTCATTGTGAAACCAAACGATTTAAAATTGATAATTTTTATCAACATTGGAGGATCAAAGGGGAAGATGACTTCGATTTTGGGTAGGTGAGTATGGTTTTGTAGTGGCTATACACTCCAAGCGTTTGTGCCTTTACCTATTAGAGGTGATTGTGGAGTTCTTGCGGCTTGGTCGCTTAGGCAAGGCTATTAGTGATTTTTTTATAAGCATTTTAGTAAGGTAGGAGAAAGCAATTAGAGTAAATCCGGTGAAGGCATAACGATTTTGGAATTATGCTTTGGTGTGGTGGTTATAGTGGTCGGGGCTTGGCGGTGGTAGTTTAGTGACTATGGAGGTATTGGCAAAGCGGTAAGTGGTGAATGAGAATAGGGATCGAGCTACTTGTGGTATATTTGATAATAGAGTTTCGACTATATGAGGGAGAGTTGTAGCGACAAGGTTGGGGTCTCGGGGTGCTGGAGATTGGTGATGAGTAGCGGTAATGGTGGTAAGGATATTGGAGGAGATATAGAGGCTACTTGGTTGTGGTAGGGATTATCGAAGGAATGAGTGAGGGTTTTGGAGGGTTCATAGAGGTTTAGGGCTACTTTTTTTGAGTTCTTAGGAAGAGAGAGCTGGCTTTAGGTATTAAGGGCAATTTGTTGGTTAATATATGAGACGGCATGGCGAAACTAGGGTTACTCGTGGGTTAAGAAGGAGGGCTTCAAGCTTTAGTGGCGTGAAGGAAGCTGCTGTAGTGAGGGAGGCTGGAGTGTGGCTAGCTCATAAGTCTACCCACAAAGTGTTTGATGAATCTTTTTTATGACCTCTCCTTGTGGTGATTGGTTTGGTGATGGTTGGAGCTTGGCTAGGTGAAGGCTGCTATAGAGGTAGGAGTAGTTGGCGAGGATTGAAGAACAGTAGAGAGAGATTTTTTTAGGGTGATTGCTAAAGTTTTAATGGAGTATCTATGAAGAAGGCTGGTTTTAGTAGCTATGGTAATTGGGTTGTTTGGTAAGTAGATGATTAGAGAAGGATGAAGATGGTATGGTTTGAAGAGCCATGAGAACCATCCTTTTTTAGGAAAGATGGGATAGCTATCCAACTTTTTATTTTTTCCTAGAGACTATATTTTTTAGGGTTTAGGAGATAGGAGAATTGTGGAGGCCTTTGTGGCACCTCTTCTTATGGCTACTCCTAAACATCAAGAAAAAGTTTGCTTTTATAGGAGAAATTTAGAGTTGAGAGAAATGAGTCATTTTTTTCTTTTTTATTCTTTGAATTTTATGTATATTTTGTATTTTTTTCATTTTTCAGATTTTTTAATAAATTTTAAAATAAAGTAAAATGAGATAAAATAAAATAAATGAGAAATAATTAAAACAATAAAAATATAGGAAAATTTTGGATTATGACACTAGTCACTATGCATCCATATACATGCGTCGAGGTTACCACACCATTATGTATATACACTAACCATTTATTTATGTGTTTCTCCATATACAAAATGGACTTCGTTTTCTACTACACTTGGTCACACTAAAACAAAAAGCCCTTACCACCTATCATCAACCAATCAACATGCAATAGTAAAATAGATGCAATTTTTTTTATATTCAATGGTTAATACAAATAAATTGTTCATGTCTTATATTTAACTTTTAACTATAAAAGAATAATATAAATTATTCTTATAATTTTATCCGATAACATAAATGTTGGATTGAAATTATTTTTTAACATGATACTACGACTTTGCTCACCAAACTGTCACTAAATTTGAGTTCGAGATCTCACCACCTCTATTTTCTCTTATTAAAAATAAATAATTAACTACAAGATAATGGTAGGTCTGTATAAATTTTAAATTCAAAAGATTTTCACTTGCAATCACCAAATAATTCAACATTTTGGATTAAAATAGTATCTTAACATGATATTAGGACCTTTAGACTAAATAGTCACCAATAGAAAATCTCAATATCCTCATTTTTTAAATTAAAATTAAATACTTAAACATAAAAGAGTAATTAATTTGTGCAAGTTTTAAATAAAAAACAGTTTAAGTTGAGGAGGTGTGCTTAGAGAGTAATATAAAATCATTAATGAAACTTTACTTAATAGTTTAAGTTTTTTGGTTAAAATGATTAGTTGATATGATATTAGAATTTTGATAACCTAAAGATCTCAAGGTAGTATCTCCATTCTTAGCAACTTTCTCCAACCTCCTTAGATATTTAATTCTTGGATTTTTTTGGGTTGCCAAATTTATTAATTGGGAAAGTTGGATTGGATAAAAATATTGACTAAACTCAACCCTATCCGACTCGTGATCTTAAAAGTGAGAGAAAATAATATATGCTCTTAATTTTTTTTTTTAATTTCTATAGTTTTTGTGTATCAAATGAAGAAATCTTTATATATTCTTTATTTTAGATTTTGTAAACAATGCATGTACATTTATGTCATTTTACTTATATGTTTTTGAACAACTTTTTATGAGTCAATATGTACATTTTATTATGGATACTCTACTTAGGAACTGAAGATCCCAAGAACTAGGTTCAAAGAGAAGAGCGAGTATAGAGTGGTTTGATTACATACACAATTTATTTGAGTTGTAATACTCATACGTATATCCCTATGGTGTAGTGCATGAATCCGATAACGAAATAGAGATTAAGTTTCTTTAAATGAAACTTTTAATATGTTCTATAGTTCTTTTGAATGAGATGTTAGAGTTATGGGTGCATCCTTGATAGACACACCTACATGAGTAAGGAAGTGTGGTTGCTTCCTATGAGAATAAGGCTAATTCTCTAGGACACTCGTAGAAGCCGGGATCAAGCACAAGGCCATAATATGCTGGCTCTAAAACTTATCGCAAATTACTTGGATATAATATGTGTGATATAATATTTGTTTCTCATAAAAAAAGCCTTAGTTCAAGATATGGTTGATTATTGGTTTGAGAGCAATATTATTGAAGCGCCAAGTAAGGGTTCAAACCATTGACACTTTTATTATGTATTATGTTCGTTTCCTTACCCAAAAATATGACATATATTTTATTAAAAAAATAAGTGGGGGATTATTGAAATATTTTTAATAAAATATTAAAATAAAATTAATTAAAGCATGGGTTGAAACTATTTTTCAAAATAGATAAGACTATTTTGACGAATAATCTTATAATAGTTTTTTCAAATAATAATAATAATAATAATAATAAAGTGCTTGGTTTAAAATGGTACATTAAAATTCGTTTGCTTACAAGAGTTATATTATTTTAATTTATTAAGAAACGAATGTATTCTTTATAAAAGAAGTTACTTACCGTTTATATAAATAATAATTGCACTTACCATTTGGGAAATAATGATTGCAATTATTTTTTCTCAAACAGATCTTTCACAATGCCTATATACGGAGGTTGTTGTTCAATTGATGTATATATATATATATATATATATATATATATATATATAAAGGCAATATGCAACATATATGCTTGTTTCTCTTGTACAAAGAATTTAAATAAGATGTCAATGAAAAAAAAATAGTCTTCATTTTTGTGTTTTTTAATCTCCCACTTGTAAAGCCATATAATATTTATTTGTTTTATCTTAGGGTAAAATTGGTACTTGTTATTTTTAGAGTTTTAAGTCTTATAAAGAATACAAATTTGTTATAAGACACGACAAGGTAGATATGCTTGTTGTATTCCTAAAATGACGTGTAATATATTCTGAATATGTTGCATCATATAAATTCTATAGATGATGCATATAATCTCAAGAAAGCAACTTAATTGTGTCTCGAGTCGAGTCATCTAAAAATTATGGTAAAACTATTTTGTCGGTTCGATCATCTTTACACCGTGAAATATGATAATGTGATTTTACTTTCAAATTCTTTGACAATCAAGGTAAAAAATTCTAGTTCTTTATTTATTTTAATTTACAATAAATTTATTTATTATGTTAATTTTTATTATTTAATTATGTTCTTTTTGTATGCCGAGAATGACAACTTATATGTTTTTGAACAACTTTTTATGAAATAACACACACACACACACACACACATATATAAGTTTAAGCCTTTAGGCGATGTCTTAGAAATGATTTTATATTACTCTCTAAGACACATTCTTAAATAAAAGTTTTTTAAACTTGAAACTTGCATATATCCATATTATCTTGTGTTTAATTAATCAAAAGAGAAATAGAGATAGTGAGATTCAAAATTGCGAGCATTTGATTATGAAAACTTTGATAATATATAAAAAAATTATGTCAATTCAAAAGCTTAAGCTTCAATTATAGTGAGTGTTTAACTATTTAATATTGGATATGTTCTCTAACAATATATAGCCAAATATTTTTTTTAATCCATTTTTTTCCTTACATGTGGTTTTTTTTAAACGCTAATTTTAGAACTTGGGAATACAGATCCAACTAGTTATTAATTATCAGTTGGAGTCTTGATCAGACTAGCTTGTTTGCATCATTCTTGTAAGCCATGAATCCTTAAAATACAAACTATTGGGTAAAAATATTTCGCAACTATTTATTAATAGACAACCATGCCAATTTCAAAAATAGTCACATGTGTTTTTCATTTGGAAAAACAATTATCGTTCTATTTTCAACTGTTAGCAATCATTTTCTGCTTACTTTCACGTCTTGCCCCCACAAAATAAACTATTTTCGCAAATCACCACTTGAAGAAATATAATAACACGAAATAGATTGTGCGTATCCTCATAATTGATCAACATGGATGACGTTACATACTTTTATTTGTGATTAAAAATATCATTGATAGAGAGGTGAGATACATGTTGTGTTAAGATTATTTTCATGCCTTTTTAATGTGAATAGGTAGTGAAGGATAACAGAAATGCAGCATTGTTTTTAACTAAAAGCGTGTATCTTCTGCTTTTAACTAAAAGCAGAAAAAGTCACATGTGTTTTTCATTTGGAAAAACAATTATCGTTCTATTTTCAACTGTTAGCAATCATTTTCTGCTTACTTTCACGTCTTGCCCCCACAAAATAAACTATTTTCGCAAATCACCACTTGAAGAAATATAATAACACGAAATAGATTGTGCGTATCCTCATAATTGATCAACATGGATGACGTTACATACTTTTATTTGTGATTAAAAATATCATTGATAGAGAGGTGAGATACATGTTGTGTTAAGATTATTTTCATGCCTTTTTAATGTGAATAGGTAGTGAAGGATAACAGAAATGCAGCATTGTTTTTAACTAAAAGCGTGTATCTTCTGCTTTTAACTAAAAGCATAAGTTTTTTTTGTTTTTGTTTTTTTTTTCCAATTTAATTTAATTATAAAAGTTGAAGATCAAATAACTTTAGAAGTTTGGTTTGAACGAAGAAACTCTAATCGTTTAAGCAAGTAGTTTCGGTTTTAAATTTTTATGTATACAAAAATCTTTTCATATATCTGTTTTTATTTTATGTATCTAACCAAACAATGAGTGATTAGTTTCAGTTTTTATGTTTGTATACTTTCGAGATAAAAAAAAAAAGGTTGGAGATCAAGCAAAGCCTACTACTTTCTTTCATCTACTAGTGTCATATGGATAGAGTTTACCATGTGGGCAAAGAAATTAAAAAAAGCCGAGTAAATGTCTGAAATTTCCTTAAAGATATCATTGACATCATTAATTTCTTTAAATATTTGTTAAAGTAAATTAAACCCATGAAGTGCGGATCTTAACTAGCAATTCTTTTTACACATATGATTTAGAGATTTAACCGAATTAATAAGTGGGTATTATTTTATAA